ATCCCCCAACAAGCACGCGCTGCTCCAAGGGGCCGGGTGTACTCTTTTCAACCGTTTATTCATACTTATTCCATACTTTATTCATATACGATGTGCACGCCGGTGCAGCCCGCAAACTGCACGTTCAGGCACTGGATCACTGAGAGTTTGGTCACGGACTAAGTGATGTCAGGAAAGACATCCAAACACTCTCCGAACATTTGCACTGAAAATGCAAGTGTGTGAATGTCGCTCACCTGTATGTGTAAAGGTGTGAATTTTTCCTAGAAAATTTTTCCTAGAAAATTCACACCTTTACCCCCCTAAGTGTACGAAATGGACATTCAAACACCTACAGGTGAGCGACATTCACACACTTGCATTGCCAGTGTATAATCATTTTGTTCGTCTGCGTCATGCAGTAGTGACGTCTTGGTCGTGGTGAAGTTGGCGCAGACGGCCCCCGACCAGAGACGTACAAACAGCCTGTGCGGGCAGCCTCAAGACCCTCACGACTCCGACCGGCCGGGCCGAAGCTGGACAAAACCGCATTCTGGCGGCGACATTCCGACCCGGGTGGCCGCAGGCCGAGGCAGGGCGGCCTAGGGAGTGAGGGTCGTGGACCGCGAACAACTTCGCGCCCAAATAGGTCCTGAGCTCGGTCTTGGTGTGGGTGCAAGGGGAAAAAATTGGACCAAACTTGGTGGGAAACAGAGCAGATAACACTGCAGAGAGATCCAAGAGAAAAACCTTTAAATATCTTTACTTAGTTCTGGGTTAAATGTTGAGAGGCTTTTACGGGGGTGCTGTACAGGTACTGGTGGAATATGTATTCTGTCAACGTTATTTCCCCCAACCTTGCTGCACGCATGCACACACTGTACTTACTATAAACCAGTGCGCTAGCCACGAGAACGATGCGGCCGTTTGGAGGCCGGCGCACGCCCCTGCTATGATGGGGCTTTATTCGGCTCGACAAGAGCCGTCTGCTACACACACCATACGTGTTCATGAGGGGACAGGGGACGGGAGTTCGCTCTGCCCGCTGCTGGGATGCGTGTTGTCTGCTTATGGCCATATCTTGGCTGCTGAATGACTGGTCGGGTATCCATCTAAAGCCAATCGCAAGCTGCTCTCCTTGTCGCATCACGCTCCCGCCTCACGCCCGCTCTCGCCGCTTTGCTCCAAGATGTCCAGATGCTCGGCCATAGCCGCCGCGGCACGCTGGTGTAGTCCGAGCCCCAGCTGCTGCGCACCGCCGGCCACAACGCCATTCGTCTTCAACGCACCGCTTTC